AACCAGCAGCCTTAGCCAAATGCAACATGCGACAAAATGGTCCGAACCTCATCCGAAACTCACCCGAGACCCTCGGGACCCCGTCCAAATATACAAATAAGACCCATAACATAACACAGACCTACTCGAGGCCTCAAATCACACATAACAACATTGAAATGACGAATCGCACCTCAAATGAAAATTAAATGAACTTTCAACTTTCAACTTCAAAAACTCGCGCCGAAACTTATCAAATCAACTGGGAATGAACTCAAATTTTGCACACAAGTCCCAAATGACATAACGAAGCTATTGCAATTCTCAGAACCACAATCTAAACCCAATTTCATCAAAGTCAACTCCTGGTCAAATTGATGAACTTTCCAAACCTTCAAATTTTCAACTTTCGCCAATTAGTGCCGAATCCTTCTAGAAATATCCAAATGCAAATTCGAGCATATGCCCAAGTCTAAAATCACCATCCGGGCCTAACAGAGCCCTCAATACTTCGTTCCAGGGTCAAATTCACAAAAGTCAAACTTGGTTAACTCTTCCAACTTAAAGCTTAAGTCATAAAATTCATTCTTCCAAATCGATTTCGAATAACCTGAAAATCAAAATCGACGATTCACACAAGTCATAATACATCATACGAAGCTACTCATGCCCTCAAACCACTGAGCGAAGTGCAAATGCTCAAAATGACTGGTCGGGTCGTTACAGTATCGCAATTGTGATGTAAGCTAAGTCTGTCAGGGTTCACAAATGCGAGCCCTGGTTCGCAATTGCGAGAGTTCACAAATGCGACATATGCAACTGGTTAAAGGGTTGGGAGACGGATTTTTGAACTTATTCTCTCATTTTTTAACCCTAGACTCGGTAGGAAATAATTTGGAGAGGGAATTTTTACCAACAAACCTTGGGTAAGTAATTCTAATCTATTTCTAATCATATTCCATCAACATGTCTTAGATTTAAACATCAAAATCATGTGAATCAAAGTGGACAATAAGAAATTGAGTTTTGAGAGTCGATTTGGACTCAGATTTTGAAACTAATCACATATATGAACTCGTGGGGTCATGGGTAGACGGAATCTACCATTGGACCCGGATTTTGACCGGGCGGGCCCCAGATTGACTTTTGTTGACTTTTTAAAAAAAGTATAAAGATCTTAACTTTATCTATTGCAATTGAATTCCCTAGCATTGTTTGATGTTATTGAGTCCATTTTGGTTAGATTTGAGCCGTGTGGAGGCGGATTGTAAGGGGAAAACTATTTTCGAGTTTTGAATTGGCCTAATTGAGGTAAGTGTCTTGCCTAACTTCGTGTGGGGGAACTACCCCTTAAGATTGGTATTGTTGGTTCAATTGTGCTAAGTTAAATCCGTGTATGCAAGGTGACGAGTGGGTACACGGGTTGTACGTAGTAATTGACCGGTTTAGGCTAATTAGACTAATTCCATGCTTTAATTGAAATGCCATATTATGTTCTAAATTCTCATAGTCAAATTATCCTTAATTGTGTTAGACTATCCTTAAATGTCTTAGTTGACTTGTTTAGTATTTGTTCTGCATCCTACTTGCTAAATTGCTCCCATGCTTTAGTTGAACATGTTGTCTCCTTTATTGTTACATACTATCTCTTCATTGTTAATTATCATTGTTTAAGTAATTATTCATGTTATCCCTTTATTTGTTGATTTCCATTATTTGAGACTCATTGTCTTTTACTGTGAAGTTAGTCTTACCTAATATTGTGGTTATATATTATTTCTCTCATTGCCTAGTTATTTGGTGTTGAAGTTGTGGAAGTCGTTAATACGTTGAGGCGATGTTGGTTATTGTTGAAACATCTATCTTATTGAGCATTTCTCATCCATTGTTGTTGTTGATATTCTTGTATACGTTGTGTTAGAGCCATGTGCTATTGTTGTGGAAATATTGAAATTGTTGTTACTGGCAAGTTGTGATATATGGTCACTTGTGGTAAAAATTATTATTGTGCTCTGATAATTATGCGCATGAGGCAGTATAAGGCTTGGGTTGATGTGCATGCGGCGGTATAAGGTGGGACTTATATTCGTGTTGCTTGTAGGAGAACTACGTGAAGCCACGCAGAGTCATAAGGTGGGCTAAAGTGCATGTATCTATTTCGGAAAAACCGTTTTCAAAACCTCTTTTCAAATATAAGGCTCACGCGGCGGTATAAGGAAAGATTATGATTTAAATAGAGAAAAGTAAATACGAGGCGGTACCTCGGTTGTGATTCTTGATTATACGAGGCGGTACCTCGGTTTTGATTTTATTATACACGAGGCGGTACCTCGTTGTGATTCTTGCGTTACGTTTCATGTTGCAAGGTGTTTTTAATGGAAATTATATCTTGTTGTATCATTTCTTATTTGTTCAAGCAGTTGTTGCCCGTACATGATCATTGTAGCACTTTAGTTGCTTCCTTTATGTTATTTCTATTATCGATTTCCGGTAATAGTTCTTGCTATTATTTTTCCGTATTAGTTGTTTCTTCACTTTCCATTTCATATTCGTATTAAAATTTCGTACTGTCTATTTTATATCCTAGTAGGTGTCTTGACCTGGCACCTGACCTCGTCACTACTCTATTGAGGTTAAGCTTGATACTTACTGGGTATCGTTGTGGTGTACTCATACTGCATTTCTGCACATCTTTTTGTGCAGATCTAGGTATGTTTGCTCGTGCCGGTCATTAGAAGATTGTTGTAGCTGCTGCTCGGGAGACTTCAAGGTATATCTGCCCCACGTCCGCAGGCCTCGGAGTTACCTTCCCTATTTTACTTTCTATTGAATTTTCATTCGTACATTGATGTAGTAGTAATCTAGTTGTAATTTGTAGAGCTTATGACTTAGTTCCACCGATTATGGAGCGTGTATTTTGAGATGTTGTTTTCGGAGGATTTTTATCTATTATTCAGTTGCTTTCAGTAATTTGTTAATTAATATCTGATCAGTTATTATTACTGTTAGGCTTACCTAGTCATAGAGACTAGGTGCCATCACGACATCCTACGGGAAAAATTGGGGTCGTGACAGCAAGTCATAATACATAATATGAAGCTATTTAAAGTCTCAAACAACCGAATGGAACGCTAAAGCTCAAAATAACCGGTCGGGTCGTTACACACCCCGACAAGTCACATGTGCACAAATGAACATAGGAGAGGTAATAAATAGGAGAATGTGGCTACAATATACAAAACGACCGATCGGGTCGTTACACTGCCCCAATTCACGAAGATGGCATGGACATTAGCAACAAAAAAAAATCAAAAATCATCCTGAATTCCTATTTTATGGTCCTAAAATGCCAAAAAATAAAGAATGTATATGGCGAAGTGATGACTATTGTTTATTAGGTCATTTCTAATGGGCACACTAAATTTTAGGAGATTCGGAGTCCGTCGCCCGAATTCATGAAGATGGTGTGGACATTAGCACACAAAAATTAGAAAACATCTTGAATTCCTGTTTTATGGCCCTAAAATGACATAAAATGAGGAACAGCCATAGCGAAATATTGATTATTGTTCATAAGGTCATTTCTAATGGGCCAGTAAAATTCTAGGTGATTCGTAACCCGTTGCCCAAATTCATGAAGATGGAGTGGACATTAGCACACAAAAAATTAGAAATCGTCTTGAATTCATGTTTTATGGCCCTAAAATGCCAAAAATGAGAAACAATCATGGCGAAGTGATAACTATTGTTCATTAGATCATTTATGATGGGCTCACAAAACTTTTAGGGGATTTCGAGCCCGTCGCCCGAATTCACCAAGATGGCGTGAATTAGTGCACAAGAAAAATTAGAAATCATTCTGAATTCCTGTTTTATGACCCTAAAACACTAAAAAAAAATGATGAACGGTCATGATGAAGTAATGACTATGGTTCATTAGGTCATTTTTTATGGACCCACAAAATTTTAGGCTATTCGACGAGAAGGGCTAAAGGAGAAGAGGAGAAAAGGATGAAAGAGGCGGCGGAAAATTTGAAGTCTGCTCAAAGTGGTTTTAGGTTAAATTGTTTTACAGAAGTGGATTCATGTTAAATAGCTAAGTATAAAAAGGGCGTGGCGTGAAATTTTACTATATGGACTTGCATTATTAACAAAGTGGGAAGGCAAAGACTTACATACATTTGATGTTTATAACAATTATGGATGCAAAATATATGTTTATTATTTATACATTTACTATTAATTGTTTTCTTACTTTACACTGGCACGGGCCCAATTTTGTAAAAGTTGGAACTATTACTTTTTATTAATTTGTTTTGATATATGAAATAATAGAGAAGAGAAATAGATGTCTGTATACGACTACCAAATCAAATATAGACAACATACAACAACTACTACCTAATATAAAAGCTATGACACTACCAAAAATTACATGTTTATCGACGCAAACTACCGAGGGATATCCCTCGGTAACAAGGCTTTTCCGAAGGAAGTTCATCGATAAGTGGTACGTAGGTAAATCTTTTCTCGTTATAAGCGACCGACGGAATCCCTCGGTGATTACCGATGGACCCCATCAGAAAGCCATCGGTACCTTTCTGATACTATTTGGACAAATAATTTTACTTACCGACGGATATCCATCGGTATATTATAAAATAATATAATATCAATAATGTCAATACCGACGGATGTCCATCGGTAAATTAAAAATAAAAATTTATTATTACCGACCATCGGTATATTTAGAATTTTAATTTAGTAATTTAAAAATTAAAAATATGAATAAATTCATTTCAGATGAATATACGTCGGTATGTTCAACAAAATTTGAAAGATTGTTTTAAATCTACCGACAGACTCCCTTGGTATGTATGAATTCTGGATTGACAAATAAACATTTTTTTCGACAGACTCTGTCGTAAGACCCTCAGTAAATCTGGTATATTTTTGACAGGCAGTACTTATTTTTTGCCGCACCACCTGCCAGCCAGAATATTACAATAGAAACAGAAATGCAACCACAATAAAACACAAATTAATAACAATAAAACTTAATAAACTATCCAAACATCCAAATTATCCCATCAAACATCAAAACTATCCAACCAAACTTCAAAATGTAATATTCAAAGTAAACATCCAACTAAACAATAATCCAACCAAACATAAAATCACTCCTCATCTTCGGATTCCCCCTCATCTTTATCATTTATATTGTTTCCATCACTTTCATCCTCTTCATAAATGTGGCTTTTTGGCGGAGAACGAAACAAGCCGATTAAGTGGTTCACTTGAGCCTTGAGGGACTCGATGTCGTTCCTAAGTGCAGTCCTAATCTTCTCTTCATGCTTTCTTTTTTCTCGTTAATCCGCATAATTCCTAGAAAGTTGTTGAATCGTTCGCCGCATCTCCTCAGGTCCTCACTTTGCCCGGTGGCGGATGTCACAAATATAGTTTTCTATACAACATGAAAACATTATTCCACAACTATACACTTTATATAGTAAAACATTTGCTTCATATATGTTCTCAAACTTTAGTGAAATGCAGGTAAGCTTTGCCGGTAGTAATATATAAAATTGTACTAGTATATTTCAAACTTTTCATGTTTCTTGAAGGAGGAAATATAAATTACATTACCAATCCGATTACTTTAGCCATTTGGTTGGATTTTTTTGTTATACGGGTTCTGTCTCATTTCTTTGGCCACTTTTTAAAAAAATCTTTTTACAGATCCAAAACTTGTTCTACTACTTCAAATGTCTAGTTTTATTCTCTATATGAACAATTTGCAATAGGGCAATAATTAAAAATACATTAGAATCTTCCCCTCTTCAATGCATACCCCTAAACAGTGTTTCTGGTTTATGGCCTTCCCTCAAAAGAAGAAACAGCCTTTTCTCTAAACTTAATATGCTTGAAAATATACTGTTTTGTTCTCTTAAATTACACCCAAAAAGACAGAAACAACTATCCAAGGTGTAAAGTTGACATCACTCTTTAAAACAAGTTTAAGTTCACCTACATTCTCAGTTTGCTTATTGCTAAAAAAAACCAAAAATTCATTCAGACAAGCAATTAAAAATAGTGCAACACCAGCCAAGTAATGAATATAACAACAGATAATTATGACTTCTCCAAAGAAAATGCAAACAAAGATAAGAGAGAAATTCGTGCAGGTGTTCAATGGGAGGAGTCAATTTTTACTCTATTCATTTCTTATTATAAGATTAATAAAAAAGAGATTCAAATAGTCCCTTTGTCATACAGCTTATAGAGAATCAAACTCCTTTTCTATAGAATGGTTAGTACAGTGTACTATGGCTTATAGACTTTTCCACAACTATGCACTTTATATAGTAAAATATTTGCTTCATAAATGTTCTCAAACATTGGTGAAAGGCATGTAATCTTTGCCAGAAAGAAGATTGGCAGTGTCATATCCCCAAAGGCAGCCTCCGAAATACAGCTAACAAAAAGAAGAGCTTATTAACAAAAAAGTATATACCTTGTAGTCCACACTCGAGGCGATGATAATTGCGCTCGGAGGAAAGGCCGTATGCTCTACCGTTATACACGCCTCCAACCACGTTCAACCAAAATGGGAGAGTTTCTTCCTCCGGTGGCATGATTGGCTGGCCTTGCTCATCGGTCGGTTGACTTCTAGCGAGCTCTTCCAATGCTTGTTTATACCGATTCTACATTAAAAGTGAAATTTAGTAAATAAACAAATCATTATAAAAGAAATTTTAAGTTAATCTTGATCTTACATAAGCCTCCTCAGCCCGTGGCTCAACCCAAGCTTCTTCCCCGACTTTGCTTTTTGTGTGGGTCTTCTTCCAAACCACATCACATTTTGCGAGTCTCTTAAGAGCAGCTTCCTGCAAATGAAACAAAAAGAGTTAATAAGTTCAAGTAATGTTAGAAAAAGTCAAGACTGAGATCTTTAAATAATTACCAATCTCCTCTTAGCAGTCCCCGTGACTAGATTACATAACCATTTCATGTAATCTAGGATCTTGACTACTTTCACCAATATCCAAATTATGATTGTAAATATTACCATCACTACCCTCAGTCTCTCCATGACTAGTCCACACATAGTAATTATCCATAAAGCCCTTACTATATAGATCAGTCTTAACATCCTCTAGTTTCAACCACTTTCTACACTTGCATTTCGCACAAGGGCACCTAATCACCCCCTTATTTTGGCTAAATGACTTAGCATGATTAATAAACTCATCAACACCTTGTACAAATTCATCTCTTAAACCCCGCCGATTAGGAAGATTCCTATCGTACATCCACATACGATGTTCCATCTACATATACAAACAACAAATTTATTATTCTTACTCATTTAATATTATAACAATTACAACAGAAACTCCTATACGAGACAAATCATGTCCAAGAATTATATCAATAGCGTAGGCCATTTGATTTTCTAAAAACCCCATGTGCCTTTAAATAAAGCTTCTCTCTTATTTACTTTCTACGAAATAACATAAGGAAATTCACACAGTCATACATATCTTCAACAGAAAATGTCCACTGAAAAAATTAAAAGGCTTTTACTGCAGAATCTTTTCTTCATTATGTAATATATGACTACTTTTTTCAGTCAATGAGAGGTGCATCATATGAATGGTTAATAAGTGTATCAGTGGAGAGGGAGTGAGAGCAAGAGAGAATAGTTGGGTACCTCAAATAATGTTAGATCACTACCGCCAGTTATATTCCACACAATTCCAGTAGCCCTCTCTATGCCAATATCCAGTAAAGGAGATTGAATGGCGTTCAATGCTGCATCTCTGGCTATGGTCTTTCCTGTAACGTCAACGAACAATATCATTTCTCTTCTTGACTAGTTAGTACCAGCATCAACAGATCAATCCATATAAAAAACATATCTTGCTAGCAGAAATAGCCTCACCACTAAATACAACTAATTGGGAGATACAGAAAATGTGTATAGCTTCAACTTTCCGCAAGAGAAAAACCCAGAAGTAAGAAAGTTTCCAGCAAGAAATGGAACATCAATCACTATTATTAGCAAGCTATGCTTAAAAAACAAACAGAAAGAAAGCTTAAATCTGCACCAAATAGCATCCAATAATAGGAGGATACTCATAGAAACATGTCAGATGTGTTCAGTTCCAATAACTTTTATTTTTCCGTTTTACCTAACGGGAACATCACTAGATGAAAATCTAAAATTGGGACGACAATCCAAAATGCAACCATTGAAAGAAGCAGCAATAACCTAAACAAAATTGGGACGAAAATCTAAAAGAAGCAGCAACAATCGAAATAAAATTGGGAGATAAAAGAAAAATTACCTGTCCCTCGGGCTGGTCGTCACTGGGGAGCGGAGGAAGAGTGAGACGATGGCTGGCCGGAAGGAGGAAGAGAGAGACAATGACTGGTCGGAAGGAGGAACAGAGAGACGATGGCTGAGGGTTGGTCGCCGTTAGAGGGAGGAGAAGAGAAAGAAGAGGGCAAAAGAAAATTGACTAAGGTTAGGGTTTCTTTATTGTATTTCTGCTAATTATCCAATGTGCACGTTTTATTCAAGCTAATATATCAATTACTTATAAGTATTATTATAGAAAATATCAAATTGACAAATAATTAAATTCCAACTAACAAATTACTATTAATCAATGAAAATCAAACTAATATTTTACAAAAACCTAACATATAATTGTATAATATAATTCTGCTTAGTGTAATATTTCACAAAAATTCATTAATATAATTCCCAAATTTAGTTTGTGTAATTTTCAAAATTAGCTAATTAATTATTAATATTAATTAGCGATACCACTAATATATTTTTACTTACTTTAGTTACAATTTAAGATAATTAAATAATCACTAAGATTTACCATTAATAAACTTCAACTTATTGTATAGTTAACAATGTATAGGCTAGTAAATCACTAACATTACTTAAGTATATATCCTTAGTACGTACACTTCTACCTAGTGTAAATATCAATATCTATAAGCTAATTGTAACTATTACACTTCTATACTTAATGTAATTATCAATGAATTGACTAATAAAATTATTAATATTAATTAACAATACTGCTAATATATTTTTACTTACTTTAGTTATCAATTTAAAATAATTAAACAATTACCAATATTTGTCATGTGTACCATTAATAAACTTCTACCTAGTGTGTAACATTACTTAAGGATATATTCTTAGTACACTTCTACTTAGTGTAATTATCAATCTATAAGCTAATTATAACTATTACACTTCTACTTAGTGTAATTATCAATATATAGGCTAATCAATTATTAACATTACTTGACGATACCACTAATAAACCTCTACTTATTTTAATTATAAAACTAAAGATAAACAATCACAAACATTTCTCACAAATAGCATTAATACATTTCCATTTAGTGTATAATTATCAATGTATAGGCTAATCAATCACTAACGTTACTTATATAAGGATGCTACTAGTTCACTAATACTTAGTGCTATTATCAATGTATATAGGCTAATCAATCACCAACATTACTTACATATATATTATTAATACACTTATACTTCGTGTAATCATCAATCTACAAGCTAAATACAACTAATACACTTTTGCTTAGTATATTATCAATGTGTATGATAATCAATTGTTAACGTTACTTAAGGACACCATTAATACACTTCTACTTACAATAATTATCAATTTATAACATAGACCATCACTAATATTTTTTACGAAAACGACTAATACACTTCTTCTTAGTGTGTAATTATTAATGTATAGGTTAATCAATGTAGTTAATAATACTATAAATTCACTTTTACTTTGTGTAATTATAAATTAGTAAGCTAATTACCACTAATATATTTTTAAGTAGTGTAATTACCATGAATACAGTTCCACTTATGTAAATTTCAATAAATAGGCTAATCAACCACTAAGATAATTAAATAAATACTTACCGAGGGACTTACCGACAGCCACACTCGCTATTGTGTAATAAAAAATACAAAATAATTATATATAAAATTATATATTTAAATTACCGACGGAAGTCCATCGGTACTGTAAGAACAAAATTCAGAATATTATGTAAATGCAATAGCGATGGTGTACGTCGATAACTTTATTTTCTTTTTCATTTTTTTAATGCACCGAGAGACACCGTCGGTACCTAAAAATAATTCAAAAATATAAAAAGAAAATATTGCGAGAGAGTGCGTCGGTAAATTACCGACGGAGTCAATCGATACAACCAATTAAATTTTTACCGGTTAAAGTATTATTATTTACTGAGAGTTGTCCGTCGGTTATTTTTTAAAAAAATTAGAAATTAAGAAGTTCAAAAGTACCGAGGGACTTTGACGGAAAGTCCCTCAGAATAGCGATGGAAAAAAAGTCTGTCGATACTGCTGCGTCGGTAAACAGGTATTTTTTTTTTAGCAGTGTGACATCACAAATACACAAGCGAAGTAGTTTTATCGTTATTGTAACAAAATAAACACAGAAAAGTCTGGATTCCACTAATATAAGAAATAATGTCAGGTTCTATAATTTCAAGCACATTAAACATTGCTTCCTCCTTCAAATTGCACCATGAAGACAACTATGCAATATGATATTCCCCGAACACTTATTCAAGCACATTATTTCCGGAAGGATTGCGTCGTCAAATTAACCTACAACAATTAAAACATACATCGTAGATGCGTGTAACTTGAAAAATCTTTATGATGAAGGTGTGTAAGATTATGCAACTCACTTTTTCATTTAAATAAAAGCTGAGAAGAAATACAGCCGCAGTACATGTGAATTTCATATAATGAAATCTGAAACGTACTTAACAACATTTAAGATATAGGACAAACAGAATAAGTCAGTTGTATCTTATATTTTTTCAATTGTTGTTTTTGTTATTTTAAACTTCTTAACATGCTTGTACTGGTTAAGCAGAAGGGAATAATGCTCACAACTTTGGAATATCTATGGTTTTTAGAGTGTTAAATAATTGAGAGGGTTCCTGCAGAAATATAAACCAATATAAAGGGCAAACACTAAGAATAGTCAATAACTTTATCAATCGAGTAGAGTTCATTACCTGGGGAAGGGAGAAAGATATATTAAGCAGCAAGAAGTTCAGTCACCAATTAGCGAAAGTTACAGATATGCTAGAAAGAGAATTTCATCCCAACATAAATGATATTCCTATGAAAATCACATGCTAAGCAAAAAATATGTTAATTTTAGCATTACCGTTAAGTTTGTGCAAGAAATCAAACTGAAGTAATGTAGTGGACGAGATGTCAATTTTGGTGCTCTCAGTTAGGTGCTTTCAAAAAATTAAAGGAGAAGTACAATGTAGAACTTTCAGATAAGCAAAGCAGATGATGCCACATTAAAAGTAGAGATCGTTTTATATGTGCAACCTGCATGCAATAGAGAATGAATACCGAAATAATCAAGTTTTCCTTTCTTGAATAAAATACTTTTATATACCTTGCTCTTTTCTGAAATTCACAATAAAGATAAAAAAAACTAAAAGAACATGGAAAAATAAAAAAATGAGAAAGTCAATAGAAGCAAAATGTCGTCAGCTAGTACATCAGTGCCAATATAAAACTGGAACATAACTAATTTTAGTAGCTCAACTGCCAAACAAATAGATATTCAATAATAAAATCCGAATTCTGCGTAGAAGACCTCAAATAAACCCAAAAAGAGTGTGAAAAAGAACATGTGGAGGAGAAACCGGTAAGTGTGCCAATTCAAATGTGGTCGAAACTATTGCAAAGGTCAATAATAATAGGAAAATACTTCGCTAAAACTCAGATTAACATGAAAGGAATCATGGACTAAAGGGGTTAGAGTCAAGATAGCGAACGACAACCATCACCGTTCAAATCTCCTTTGATATTTGTGCAGCGTCACCAATAGTGAAAAATTCAGCGATTGGACCTTCCTTCATCATACTACACGCTATGGAAGTTACCTCTGTTTCATGATCATATTGGCCTGTCACGACTCCTGTCTCTCTCCGTAGTATGTCGTGATGACGCCTAATCTTTAATACTAGGTAAATCTAATATTGTCATGACCTAATTTCTCCTCCGTTTGGGTATCGTGATGGCACCTAGTCTTAGAAACTAGGTAAGCCTAACATTAATTGAAACAACAACATTATTTAAATAACATCCAACAATTTGAAATAGAAATCTCTTAAAATTTACAATTCCCAAAATCGGTAGTACAAGTCATAAGTTCTACAGAGTGTTCACTAGAAAACTTCTAAATACAACTATCCAGAAATAAGCATAAACAGTGCAAACGAAAACTTGAAGGTGACTCCGAAGCCTGCAAACGCAGCAGCAGGTTTACCTTGAGTCTCCATAATAACGACCCGCACAACTACTAAAGAACGAATACCTGGATCTGCACAAAAATATACAAAAGTGTAGAATGAACACACCACAGCGGTGTCCAGTAAGTATCAAGACTAACCTCGGTGGAGTAGTAGCGAGGAACAGTCAAGACACCCACTGGTCTAATAAACTGAACATATATGAACAGCAGAAATATGATATCTACATAAAGACTATGCAATATGGCTCACAATACAGTAATGGCAATAAGAAAGGAAACAACAAGTATCAGCGGAATACCATAAAAATGACATTAGAAAAGTGAATGGAACACAACCTAAATCTGGAATCACAAATACAACAAGGACAAGTAATAACTCAGCAACTATAACCGCTTTTACATCAGGTTTTAGTCATCAAACTCCACGAGGTACCGAACCCCGGACAAATCATAACTCACGGGTCTTAATACCTGAACCCTAATACTTCATAACCGCACTGACGACTCACGTGCCAATAGGGCCATTCTCATATAGAAGGCGAGTAAACAAGGGTGGACATTTATGCTCAACAATATCAAGAACACCTCTTATCCGATAAGAGTGCTTAACTACATGTATGCTTATGCAAGTGTCCTAACATAGTCCATACCGGCAAATAAGCATAAGGAAAAAGAACGGACAACACGTAGAATATTTTCTCACAGCTTTCACAAGATAAAGCTCACACAGGTAAGTGTACCACTACATAATATCAAAAACAAAAATGCCCTCAGGCCATCACAAATCATCACAAATCAATCCGTGATACAGTCCATCTTGTCTCCCCACGTGTGTAATAGTAAAATAAATGCCCGCCTTGTCTCGTCACACGTGCATAATAATGTTCCCACCTTATCTCGCCACATGCGCAANTTACAAAGTACTATTCAACAACGAGGGAAATATCACGAGTCAATAATTCCAATAAGGATAAGTCAACTAAGCTATAGGATATCTAAACTTCTTTTAAGGCTGAGCAAGCACGAAAGAGACACAACAACTTCAATTAAGGATAAGCAGTATAAAAAAAATCATAACCTCAATTAAGGATGAACAATTACAGAAGAGATAATTATAACTTTAGATAAAGATAAGCAGTTAGGGAAAAGACAACACATCAATAGAAGAGATACAATTTT